TCCAATATAACTACGCCGCCAACCTCCTGTATGTCTTCTGCACCCTTGAATGATCCCCGACGGTGCTCTCATGAAACTCTTGTAGATGTTGAGAAATATGGACCAAAGTCTATGACAACACAAATCACCCCTAGTATAGTAGTCTCTCCCCTTCTAGGGAATAGCTAGAGTGGCTACTCTCATCCCTCAGCAGATCTTCCTTAATCCTCCTAACTCATCTTGTACACTCTCCTCCTTTATAACCCACCAATCCAACATTAGTGATACTGAAATGGTTAACTCCTCGTCTAGACAAGGCATCAACCTCCTTGTTCTCTAACCCTGGCTTATAATGGATCTTGAAATCATACCCCAACAGCTTCGATAGTTACCTCTGATGCTCCTTGGTCACTATTCTCTGCTCTAGCTGGTGCTTCAAGCTTTCATTATCTATCCCGATGATAAAATATTAGCCTACCTAACAAGTAGGGCTGCCACTTCTAAATGACCAGCACAATAATCATCTATCTCTCTCATAAACTTACTTCAGCCTAGATCTGGCTGTCAATACCTGATTGAAGTAAGTTATGAACTTCTAATTCAGCATGAGCACTACCTCTAATCCTTATTCTGATGCATCAATCTCCACCACAAAAACTTGGCTGAAATCTGGTAGGGCTAGGACCGGTATCGTGGTCATGTCCTTCAGTCTTTCAAAGGCCTAGATAGCTACCTCTCCTCATAGAAAACTATCCTTATTTAGGTGCTCCATCAGTGGTCGTGCTATAGTATTTTATCCCCTCACAAACTTCCTATAATACCCAATCAACCCTAGAAAACCTCTCTGCTTCATGAGAGTCCTAGGTAGTAGCCATTTCATCATAGCCTTAATCTTGGTTTGATCAACGATCACCCCCTTTTGAGATACCACTTGTCTCAAGTGCTCTACATTGGATTGTGCAAAGCAACACTTTTTTAGATTAGCCCGCTGCTTATGCTCCTATAAAACCTCCAATACCACATTCAAGTGCTCCAAATGTTCCTCAGCCGACCTATTATACAGAATGATGTCATCAAAGAAAATCAGTATAAATCTCCTAAGATATGGTCAGAACACCTTGTTCATGAGGGATTGAAATATAGTAGGCATGTTGGTGAGATCAAACGACATCACTAATAACTCGTAGCGTCCTTCAAGTTGGCTGAATGCAATATTCAGGACATCCTCCCCTCTCATCCTGTTTTGATGGTATCCTGACTTCAGATGCATCTTCATGAATACCATCGCTCCACATAGCTCATCCAACAACTTATCTATCACCAGAATAGGAAACTTATATGGCATACTCTTTTTATTCGGGGCTCGATAATTCATACAGAATCTCTAGCTCCCATCATTCTTGCTTCGTAAGATTGGGCTAGAAAAAATGACTCATGCTTGGCCTAATGATCCTTGCCTCGAATATCTGTCAGATCAGGTTGTTGATCTCATTCTTTTGGATTTGAGGGTATTAGTAAGGTCTGACACCAATTGGTTACACCACCTCCCTCAATGGTCTTGCTCCCTCGGTGGTGGTATTCCTTGAGGTGGCTAAAAGACCTCACTGAATTGCTGTATAAATGGATGCAATGAAAGAGAGATGTCTCCCCCTCCGCCAACCTATTCCCCTCTAAGCTCTGCAACTCCACCAAAAGTCCTCTCCCCACCTCTTCTATAGTCTTTTCCATAGTTTTGAGAGATTTCATGGATTTGGATAACCATGAATCCCTCTGATCATCACCCTCCATCCCTCCACCATTATTTCCATTGTCAGTGCTCCCCAATTGACCTTGCGTCTGCCAATATCTACAGTCATTTCATCACCAGGATGACATTAGTGCTCCCTAACTCCAATGGAAGGAAGTCCTCCCACACTTGGATCCTCTGTATGGTCAGAACTACCCCCCTACACACTCCTCTACCTGCCTCCACCTTCCATGTGCCCATCATTACCACGTAGCACCTTGTGTCCACTTGCTTCATCACCAATTTGTCTATGACCTGGTTGGGGATAAAATTGTAGGTAACCTCACTATCTCTTAGCACCACAACCTCACAGCTTGCTATCTCTTCTCTCACTTTCATGGTATGATTTGAAGTGAATCCTAGCACTGAGTTCAAGGAGACATCCGCCACATTTCTTCCTCCACCATTTCATTTTTCTCTTGTAACTCGTCTTAGTGAGCTTCTTGAAGTTTCCCCCAGGCCTCTCTCCTACATTCGTCTCCTTCAGGGTCTACCTAAGAATATATGATGTCTGCCCCTTTGGTGCCAAAAAAGGTTATGGTGATCTTGTATGAACCTCCTGAGCTACTGCATCTAGCCCCTCTCTTTAGGTGCCTCTAATCCTTAACTAATTGGGCTAGCTCCAGAGCCTATACCAAGTCACAAAGCCTCATCACTCTAAGTGCTACCCGAATCTTTGTTTGTACCCTTTCATAAATTTCTCCAGTACAGGCTTCGAAAGCAGTCTAGTTGGTTGGTAAGGTACTCAAACTTCTCACGGTAATCCACCATTGTCCCCTCCTACGTCAGAGCAAAGAACTACTCAAAAAAGTCCTCTACCATGCTAGATCGAAGATGTTCCAACAAGCAGTCCTTAAACTCCTTCTAGGTCCATATGAGCTGCCTCATATCCCTCCACTAGTATCATTCCACGCACAGCCTGACCATTATCAGCCTCTCCTCCATCAACCCATTGAAAACAAAGTACCATTCTCCCTGTAGAGCCACCCATTTGCATCCTCTCCCTCAAAAACAGGTATCTTCACCTTCCTCATCCTCGGATCTCCTCTGTTTTCTCTGTTTCCTCCATAACTCCTAGGTTCATATGAGCTGCCTCATTTCCCTCCACTAATATCATTCCAACGCTTTCCCCTCCACGCACAGCCTGACCATTATCAGTCTCTCTTCCTCCATCAACCCACTGACAACAAAGTACGTTTCACCCTTTAGAGTCTCACATTTGCATCCTCTCCCTCAAAAACAACTATCTTCAGCTTCCTCACTCTCGGATCTCCTCCGTTTCCTCCATAACCTCCCATCCCCAAGGGGGTGGTTCTCCCCCCCCAAGTGCCCCAATCATCCCTAGCACCCTAGTACCCAAACCCTTCATTAAAATCTCCCCTCATTCTTGTAAATTGAGCACCCTCCAGTTATAATCAGTCCCTCTCCTTTCAAATTCAGCGTCCATTCACTTGTACCCAATCCCTTCACGCCTCTTCCCATTCCCTCTACATGTCTCTTCTCTAGGAATAGGCTCTAGGGAAGGCATTCTCTCAACTCCATTCAAAATCTGTACCTCCTAATCTTCTCCTCCTTATCAGATTAGGGTTTCCCCAACTCGCTTGGCCAACAGCTACTCCCCTCGCCTCCGACAACATCATTTTGGTTTGGACCTCGAGCATCTTTTTCATTATCTTCTCCATGATGGAAAACTTCCCATCGATCTTCTTATAGATGGTTGAAATTTGAATTTTGAAATCCGAAATATTTTCGTTGAAATCAATTTTTAATTTTGCGATTTCCTCTTCCAACACTTGTACCTTTATTCCTGACATAGGCACTCAAATCTTGGCTCTAATACCAATTCGATACATTGTGGAAGCAAAAATATCAAGTAAAAGAGAAGAAAAACGTAGAAACACCAAGATATGACTGATTTTTTTTGGATTGTCTCTTCAATAATAATGCAAGATACAATTGATCTACTATTTGATAGATATATACCAGCTCTCCCACAAATCCTAGACATTGCTAGGAACTCACAAAAACACTCAAAAAATAAAACTCAGCATTAGCATATATTATACCCTGGAGAACTCCCTCTTAAATAGCCATATAATATAATAATATAAATAGAACCTTCCGAATCAGCATAAATATAATTTCGGAAACTTTCCTAATGATTTGGCCGTCCTAATTAGCCTAAATATAATTTAGGAAACATTCCTAATCAATTGGCAGCATAAAAACTTTCCTAATTCTTTCCCCTTCTTACATAGTGAATATTAACTTTCTTGGGCCCCACAAGGGGGCTGAAATCCCCTCCCTCCTACTGCTATGGTTCCTACCCAACAATTTTTCTAGGTTCGGTTAGTCTGGGCAGGCTGGCTGGCTCCTGGCCTCCTCTGGCATATGAAATTCATACAGGTGGAGTAAGGCCAATGATGATGATGACCATCCTCATGAATATAAGATGTCCTTGTTTTAAATACTTATGGGTTTACCATCCTTCTGTATTGCTTAGTCAAATTTTGCTTTGATTCCATGTTTTTTTATTTGTCTTTAATCTGAACATTGCATCAACTGTATATTTCCATTAGTTTTAATTCACCCACTACACATTGCTGCATTCAGTGGCATCATAGCTATACATTTACATCCAACTGTGTTAAAATCAGTTTACAGTATGGCCAGTGTTTGATTTATTATTTTTAAGGTCTTATTTTGGCCGCATCTTTTCCTTATATTCTACTTGCCACCACGCAAGGTGCTGCATTAGGTAGCATAAAAGCTCCACTATTACGTCCTTCTGCATTAGTTACTCACGTGTTCTATTTGTATGTCGTCTTTCTTCTTTGAACTTCAAATTTGTAGTTCTGCCCGGGAACATGGAAGTAGTTAACCTTTTTATTGGTTATCTTCACTATTAAGCTTATTTTTAACTCTTACTGACTTTAAGCTGAAATCTTTAAAATCTTAAGTGCATGTACATGTCACCTCATTATTTATCTTTTTTCTCTGTTATTTATATGCACGATTGCCATTCTAATTGGAGAATCTGATTTAGAGAATCTTATTATTTTAAGACTTGACAAATGCTGACATCTTCCTAGATTTATTTTTTGGAGAACCTGATTTTATAAGTTGACTCATTATTCTTTTATTATCCCATAAGTTAGGAATGCTAGGTTTTATTTTGTTTTCCCTATGCTCTTAATCTCACATTGAATTTTGTACATGCTGATTCTTTGTGCAGCTAAAGGCTCTGGGAATTGATAATATCTTGGGCTTTGATTGGTTAGCTTCTCCTCCACCGGAGGCAATGATAAGAGCGCTTGAGGTCCTCTACTCTCTTGGGATTCTTGATGAAGACGCAAAACTCACAACACCAAGTGGATTTCAAGTTGCTGAGATACCACTAGTATGCATTTGGCATCATTCGATTTACCTATAATGAGAAATTTTATTAATGAAATTTTTGCTTACATGCCATCTATAAATTTGAAATGAATACTAAAGGTTTGTGCGGTTGAGAGTGGTATGGAGGTTAGAAATCTTGAAAACATCTTTGATGTCGGACTTGAATAAACTTAAATTGATGTTTTTTACATGTAACCTTGATTTTGTGTTAATTATTTCTTGAAGTGAAGGTTTAGTTGGGTGGTCCTATTTGAATATTTCTGTTTATAAGGGTAACAACTAAATAGGTTTGATCTTGCTAAATTCAGAAAATTGGAGAGGGAAAAACTTAATTTTATTGCATAAACTTGGCCCTATTTATAGAATTATACAATATATCTTAATAAATGAATAAATAATTATAGAATAATGCATAATTGCTCTAATATAGTCCTTCTGAAATCAGCCACCTACATATAGAAGGAGATCGGTGTGATCCAGGTGAGCCTCCCATGGATTCTCATCCTAGTCGCAGGATCAAAATGCCAATGGATGGCTAAGATTTAATAGGTGAGCCTCCCACATTTGCCAATCATAGCCGTGGGATCAGAATGCCAAGGGACAACTGAGATTTAACACTCCCTCTCAAGTTGGGGAATACAAATCTGTCATTCATAGCTTGATAATCAGTCTTAGAAAGGTAGAATAATCGAGTCCCTTGGTAAGAATATTTGCAAACTAATCTTTTGATGAGACATGGTCGATACATATAAGACCACTTTTTAATTTCTCATTTATGAAATGTTTGTTCACTTCAATGTGCTTGGTCCTGTCAAGTTGAGCCAGATTGTCAGCCATGCTGCTTGTTGATTTGTTGTCACAGTATAACTTCATGTGTCCTTCCCACTTGATCCTTAAGTATTCTAGAATTTTATCTTGATCCATAGTAGCTCAGATATTTCTGAGGCTATAGCTTTGTATTCTGCTTCTGCACTAGACTTTGCTACCACATTTTATTTCTTGCATTTCTATGTAACAAGGTTTTCTCTAAAAAGTGTGCAGTATTCTAAGGTAGATTATCTATATCTACTGGTGATATTGTGTAATTTGCCAGTATATGTTTTTGGGGTTATTCCACAGTCTCTTCTGAAGAGAATCCCTTTACCTGGGTTCCCCTTAAGGTAGTGTAGTATTATGTCTACAGCTTGCATGGTAGTCTGCTTTAGATTTTGCATGAACTGATTAACCATGTTTATAACAAATACTATATCTAGGTTGGTGTGGGAAAGGTAGATCAATCTTCCCACAAGTCTCTGGTAATCTTCTTTATCTACATTTGGATTTTCTTTAGCTTTCCTCAGTTTGAGAATTGGCTCTACTAGTGTTGGTGCTGGTTTATAAGCTAGTTTACCTTGTTTCCTTAAGAAGATCATTAATATATTTTTGTTATGAAATAAATATTCCTTTGCTGAAGTGGGCCACTTCAATTCCAAGAAAATATTGCAATCTACCAAGATCTTTGATCTCAAATTTCTTTACATGATATTTTTATAGAATCACTTTATCCTTTTCATCATTCCATGTCAAGATGATATCATCCACATAAACTAATAAAATTGTGATTTCCCCTGAGTCTAAGTGCTCGAAGAATAATCTATGATCTCCTTGGCTCTATCGATAACCATTAAGTAGCATGAGTTTCGAGAATCTTCCAAAACAAGCTCTAGGTGACTGCTTTAGCCCATAGAGTCTTTTTTAACCTATACACTTTATTATCCCAAGATTTCTCCCTAAATCTTGGTGAAATCTCCATAAATATTTTTCCTTCAAGTCCCCGTATAGGAATGCATTCTTGACCTCCATGTTGACTAAATAAAAAATATATATATACGAAGAATTTGAGTAAAGGAGAAGAACATAGTGAGAAGAAATTATCGACAAGTGCCGTCCTAGCCTCACCGCGAGGGAAGGGGAGTCGGGAGGCTGTCGAAATCTCTCGAAAGATTGCAGAACCTTTTTTCTTGGAACATTTGGAGAGCGGTGATTAATTTGATTAATTAATTGACATGAAATTAATTAATCTAATTAAATGAAAAGTCATAATTTAAAAATCTAATTTAAAATTTAATAAAATTTTACAATTCATTTAAATAAAATGTAATTTAAAAATCTAATTTAATTTAAAGTAAAATATGATTTAACCAATTTAACATAAAATTCAAGATAACTAATTTTTAAAATTCATTCAATTTAATAATCAAACTTCACTAAATTAGTTAATCACTTCAAAATAAAATTAAAATTCAAAAGCCATTCAACTAATTTAAAAGTCTCATTTAATTAATTAAATTTAAACAAATTAATCAAATTAAAAATTTCATTTCATTAATCAACCAAATTAAACTTTATTAATTCAATAAATAAATTTTCATTTAATTAAATATTAATTAAATTAAATAAATTAAAATTTACTCCGTTGATAATAAATTTTAATTAATCATATTAATTATCTTAAAAAATTTAAAATCAATCAACCAATTTAAAAAATTTCACCGACCAATCTACCAATCAAATGAAATAAAATAAAATGCATAAAATTAATAATGTTTATGCTAACAAAACTAAACAACTCAACTCAACTTACAACCAACACACAACATACAAACAACTCTCAACCCTCATCCCTCAACCAACACACACAAATAGCTCAACTCACAACTCAAAATTAAACACACTAAACACAACCAACTCTGAAACACACTGCTCTGCAAACCCTCGCAATCTCTCAAACTCTCCAAACAACACTCAAACTCAACACTTTCCAACTCAATAAACTTATACCCAAACCTCTCAAACAACAGCTCTCTAAACTCCCCAACACAACCAAAACTCCCTAACTCAATACTCCCACTCAAACAACGATCCAACTCTCCTGTGCAAACTTCATAACAGCACGAGCTATTGCAACAAGAAAATAAAATTCATTAAACTTTAAAATTAAATGCTAAAGCAGGAAAAAAATTGTTACACTAAGCTATATATTAAAAATAGGACATACTACTGGTAAAGTAACTACTTGTACACAAGGTGGTACTACTTCAAACCCAAGGTGGTACTAATCTTATCTTCCACTGGAGCTACTCCAACCTTTTCAAGTTTATGCTCATTTCATATTCTATCTCTAAGAGTAAAGCCACTCATCCACCTGAGTATCCTCATCTTTGCAACACTTAACTTAATATTATGCTTCTCTTTTAATGACCAACATTCTACACCTTAAACCATTGCAGGTCTCACTATCATATTATATAATTTTCCTTTAAGTTTGAGAGGGACTTTTCTATCACACAACAAGCCTGATGCATTCGTCCACTTCAACCATCTAACTTGAATTCTACTAATACTTTCACCATTTTTATGAACAATAGACACAAGTTATCTAAAATGTGTACTCTTATTTACGACTTGATCACCCAAAGTCACAATCTCCCTATTAGATCTATTACTAAAATAATACTCTATATATTCAATTTTAGATCTACTAAAACGAAAACCTTTAGATTCTAAGGTTGACCTCTATAATTTAGATTTACCTTCAACTCCCTCTCTAGTCTTATCAACAACAAGAATATCATCAGTAAAAAGCATACACCAGGGTACAACCTCTTGCAAATGTCTAGTGAGAACATCCATACTAAAGTGAAAAGATAAGGGTTTATGGTTGATCCTTGATGTAATCCAACTAAAATAGGAAATTTTTTGGTCAAACCACCTTGTGTTTGAACACAAGTAATAGCTCTTGCATACATATCCTTAATGACTTGAATATAAGCATTGTTAACCCCTTTCTTATGTAGAACTCTTCATAGCAGTTCTCTTGGAACTTTATCATATGCTTTCTCTAAATCAATAAAAATTCATATATAGATTCTCTTTATTCTCTCTATACTTCTCCATCAAACCTCTCAATAAATGAATAGCTTTCATAGTAGACATTCCCATTGTTAATCCAAACTAATTTTGAGAAACATTAGTGTCACAAAGCAACCTATTCTCCATAACTCTCTCCCATAGTTTTAAGGTATGACACATTAACTCAATTCCTCAATCATTCACACAATCTTGTGCATCCTTTTTTTTTTTTTAAATAGGAATCAACACATTCATTCTCCACTCATCTGGCATCTTTTTAGTCTTCAAAATAATATTAAAAAGTTTGGTAAGACAAGAAATTCATTCTATCTCCTAAGCATTTCCACGCCTCTATTTGAATATCATCAGGTCCAACAGCTTTTCCACGCCTCAGTTTTCTAAAGCCTCTTTAAATTTAGTTTTACTAATACACCAATAAAAATAAAAATTTTTATTTTCATTTAAGATGCAATTTTCACAGAGAACACCCATTTGCAGACGACTGGTTTTTTCCCTAATAGTAGGTTGGTGATCTCTTATATATATTGTTCTTTTTTAGGGCCTGCAATTCATTTTTCATGGCACTTTTCCAATTTTCATTTGATAAGACTTCCAAAATATCATTTGAAATATGAATTAGGCAGTACACCAAAAGATTATGGGTGTGAGGTTGTTATGGGTTTGAAATTCAGGGTAAAAAGAGGATAGAATATCCATTTGTAATTTTAGTCCCAAGGTTGTTGACTGTAATCAATTTATGAGATATGTGGCGATCAGAAGGGCTTCCCCTTAGTAAGATTTGGGTACATTATGGGTGAAATTTTTATAAGGCATATTAGATTACTTATAAATCTTGCCTTCATTTTTTTAGGAGTTTATGATATTATTTGTAAGTTTCATTTTGTGACGAGTATATTTAAGACACACATGTCTGACACACGTATCAAATTTCTATTTATTATTTTTTTTACTTGGACATATATTTGACGTGTTTGACATGTGTCAGACGCGTATCTTATCGGGTAGTGAGATAATTTATATATGAGGGATAGGCCCGAACAAGTAATGACAAAAGACGTGACAAGGTACACCCTAGGGACTATACAGAAGGTACATGACTTTCTCTTCTAAAAAATTAAAAATTCGTATCCAACCTTGAATGAGAGAGTTGTAAGTGTGTAAAAGCCTATAGTCATCATATAACTTGTCTGAAGTATAAGAAAATAAACATGACAAAAAGAATGTGAAAAATTAAAAGAATACACTACAAATTTTACCGTCATATGCATTAATCATTTGTATAACTTATGATTCTTTAAGTGTTTCAAATATTATTTACAGTTTACAGTTTAATGCAGAGTATGGTTTTTTATTTCTTTTAGTGAGATTGTGTGCTTTATTGAGATTTTAGCACATTAATAGTAGTTGTACTGCAGTAAAAAGAAGTAGCTAACAGGGCCCTAGGCAAGTGGGTGTTCATTTCTTGTACATAAATTTTGGCTGTATATAGAATCTAGTGTAGGAAGCTGTACATTAAAGCTTTAGGATCTGGGAATTTTATTTGAAAGTTAAATAAGTTTTGTATTTTATTTGAGGTATTTTAACATGCTTCCAAGTATGAAATATTAAGATAAAATATTGGAATTGAAAAAGAAGGTTTGTTGTGTTGGAATAATCCGAATGAATTATTTCCTACTCACTCGTTCTGATAGAAGTAATTCATGATGAGTGTTAGTAAGAGATATATCTATGTGGATTCTTCATATCTGTTACACTCTAGATTGACTGAAAGGGATGAAATGGGGTGTGACACTTCTAAATCAGGTGGATGGCTCCTACTTGTATAGGGCATGGTCGTTATAGGATTTTGGTTTGGCTATGTCCGATACAAGCCGATCGGTTTGCCTATTAATTTGTGTGATGACCTAGGCTAGGGTACGAAATGAATCAATTAGAATTGGCTAGACGAGTAATTTAGTCAACCCTCCTCGAGCTTGAGCTTGAGCTCAATTAAAATATGAGCTTAAGTATGGGTTCAAACTTGAGCTCATTGCTCGACAAGCTAGACTCACTACTCGTTAGTGATTTGAGTTCGAGTTGGCTTGCAGGTCAGTTTTGCTCACTTACACCCCTTGTAGATGTCAACACGATCTATCACTTTTTGTTAATTATTTTCCCTTCTTGCTTTTTTTTCCTCCCCCATCTGTGCTTACCTTCCAATTCAGCTAATCATTGCTGACAGGTTGAACAAACTTATGTTTTCATTGAGTTTGGAATCTGCAATTGGCTGTCATTAGTGTTATTATGTTTTGATATTTGTTTATTTTGCTCGTAAAGATGCTTATTTTTGTGGAGAATATATTCATTGCTAAGAGATTCATCTCATCTATTTATTTTTATAAATTGTCCGAGTTATCTTAAGCTGTTTGCTATGTCATAACATTACTGAGAAATAGCTGTCTTCTAGGATCCCATGGTCTCCAAGATGATCATAGCAGCGGACACGCTTGGTTGTTCAGAGGAGATTCTTACTATTGCAGCAGTTCTTTCTGTTCAGGTATACCCTTTCCTCTACGAAATAGAATTTTTTATTTATGTTTTCTGGTGATTTGGATGTTGTGGACATGCCTTTTCTCTGATGGCTAAACTGTTTCTTGGCAGTCTATCTGGGTTTCCGCTAGAGGAAAGCACAAAGGCCTTGATGAAGTGAAGTTGAGATTTGCTGCTGCTGAGGTTCTTCAAAACACAAATTTAGAAATGATTATTTTAATTGATGGGATTTATGTTGGTGTTTTAATTTAATATTCATCAGTAGTGTTATATTGTAAATAGCAGGGATTTTATAAAGGTTACCATTCGAAGCATATGATTTTACTGATATAACATGTTCGTTATAACATGCTTGTTTTAATGATGAGCTGGTTGCTATCAAATAGTTTTGGGAATATTTAGAAAATTACTTATAAAGTGCTTCGAAACCTTCATTGGCTTTCTTTCTATGCTTTTATTAAACTATTTGCAATCCCTTATTCTTTCTATCTGTATTGTTTAGCTTAAGAAAAGGAAGAATTTGCTGGCTTCATAAGTATTCCAAAGTGAGTTTGGCACGGTCAAATGTGCCGCCCAATATCTTTCCCAAGACAGCTCATTTCTTCTTTCCATGCAACTGCTGAAACCTCATCTTCAGTAAACCTTCTCCACGTCCAACATGTCACTAAGCCTGATGTACCCATTTTAGCGTGAGCCAACCAAGATCACTGTCAAAATCCAACCTTTCAAGAGCAAACCAATCCAACCTCTACAGTGCTCAATCCGTGGGATGCAGGACTCACACCACAGTTCTTTCCATATTCAAGCTGCCGATTTAGGAAGGATTATATTAGAATTATTTTATAATTATTTGTTTCCATATTAAGGTATCTTGTATAGATCTATAAATAGATGAGAAATCATGTAATAGAGTAAGCTTTTCCCTCTCCAATTTTCTGAGTTCAACATGATATTAGAGCCACGATAAGTAGAACAGCCTTCATTGCGGATAAAGAACGACGGTTCTCCGTGCATACGCAAGCAATCCACAAGATGTTCATGGGCAACTCGATTGGTGGGAACGAGAAACAACCTAATCTTGCACGGTGCCAGATGCCTGAGCACCCATACGACGATGACGCCCTCTCAAAAGAACTCTAGTCGCGGTCAGCACACATTCAATAGACACTAGCCGCCTGTTTGTCATCCAGAATCGGTCGCAAAGGCAGAACTCGACATAGTGCGGGACGAAGACGGATCCTGCTTATGGCTCGATCGGGCGAAAAGAGGACTTCTACATGCCTTAGCTGCTTGACCCGAGTTTTTTTTTTAACAGTTGGCCCGATCGGTTTTTCTCTAAACCGACAATTTGAGAAAGAAAAAAGAAGGAAAGAAAAATTAAAATTAAAAACATCACACACACACACACACACACACACATATATATACATACATACATACATACATATATTTCGGGAAGCCTTCATTGCTACCCAAGATCGTACAGATAGTCTTCATAACTATCATTTCACACCATAATGTTAGAAATTAATTCTCCCCAGAGCATCGACCAATTTGAAGATCCTATGGTGCACCAAGGACGAGGTAACCTCCAAAGCATGCAACCTTCCTATCGGCTAAATGAGAAGAATTACTTAAACTAGTCTCAATTTGTGAAAATCTATTTTAAAAGAAAAGGAAAAATACATCACCTCCTTGGAGGACCAAAAGGAGGAAATTTTAATTTTGGGGCATGGGATGAAGCAGATTTCATGATTATGTTATGGTTGTGGAATTCTATGACTACAGAAATTAGCGATACATTTATATTCCTTTCCACTGCCATATGGGATGCTGCTAGACAGACCTTCTCCAAAGTTCGTGATGCGGCTCAAATCTTTGAAATTAATGTTAAAGTTGGAAGCACAAAGCAAGGGAGTAAGACCGTGACGGAGTATGCCACCCTTCTACAAAATCTATGGCAAGAACTTGATCACTACAAATGCATAGAAACCAGATATCCAGAAGAGGCTGCGACCCTAAATAACTTTGTTTTCAAAGATAGTTTATTATTTTCTTACAGGACTAGATGCTAAATTTGATTAGGTTAAGAGTCCAGATCCTCGGCAAAGAGGAGACGCCACCACTTAACGAAACCATTTCTCTCATCCGCGTGGAAGAAAGCCGACGAGGAGTGATGTTAGAACCAAAGGTCGTTGAAAGTTCAGCAATGGCGATGAAAAAAGAATCATCATGGAAGGAGAAAGGTAAAGATTTCTTCAAATTCAAAGACAAAGATACATTTTGGTATAATTATTGTAAGAAGTCAAGACACACGAAGGAAATGTGCTAGAAAATACATGGAAAACCCCCAGTAAGAAGTGGAATCAAAGAACTGAATCAAGGAGCACGTTGCATGCAACAACACTGCAAGTCAGCCCAACCCAGAAGCACGGTCCTGCCTTGGAGAATTTAATAAAGAAGATATAGATAAACTGAAACGACTCCTGGTATCACTTTAAAAATCAAATGCATCTTCTTCACTTGCAATCTCAGGTAAGTTTCTAATTTATATTAGTTTAAGTGCCTCTAGAAATCATTTAAAAGAATTATAGATGATTGATTCTGGAGCCACATATCACATGACACACTCACCTACCCACTTCATCAACTATACTCCTTGCCCAAACATAAGAAAATTATCACTGCTGATGGTTCTATTACCATGGTAGTAGGCCAATGAGACATAACATTATCTCCCTCACTCACGCTGAAAAATGTGTTTCACGTATCCCAATTATTTACAAACCTAATATCAATACAAAAAAGATTCGAGAGAGTCTCCTTAGATGGTTTGGTCATGTGAAATGGCGGACTTCCGATGACCTTGTTAGGAGAGTATTATATTTGGCCTATGTTAAGAAAGGTAGGGGTAGACCTAAATGGACTTGGTTAGAAATTATTAGAAATAACCTTTGTTTATTAGATTTAAATGAAAATTTCTCTCCTAACAAGACACAATAGAGTAAAAGGATTCATGTAGCCGACCCCACAAAGTGGGATAAAGGCTTGATGTTGTTGTTGTAGTTCATGACAATAAATAAATAAATTATTTTTGCTGAAGCTTGATTTTTGAGATGTTGATTTTGATGCACTTGAACTTATTGAGCCATTTTCTTCACTTAATTCATAAGCGATTTTTATTTTGCTCGTTATATATTTTTCCATTAGCTCTTATATTGATTTGGCTCACACGAACACTAATTTAAATTAGAAATGCTAGCATTAATCAAATTACATTTTTGATCATCAAAATTATTGGGTTAACAAAAATGTGAAATTTAGCTGGTAAACCTATAAAATCCAAGTCCAATAAATGTCCAAGACCAAATTCTAACTTACCAAAATCTTGAATTTGCTTAAATTTCCAAAATTCACAGCCCTTATTTTTCACCAAAATTGTGTAAATAGAGGAAACCAATCTTGTGTGTTGAGCTTAATAATGCCACCCAAAGACATGGAAATAATAAACTTTTAGCTTGATTGCTCAAAAAATTCTACTCCTAGCTCGTCTAAGATGAAGTGAAACTACCACTATGGGATGAGGTTATACTACTGTTGACACCTTTTTCGTGTCGACCTGACTTAGATTGAGTAGAATTGGGTCGATTGACATCGATCAACTCAATCGAGCCTCGTTGAACACAAATTGACTTAACTGGGAACTATATTGAGTTAATTAAACTCAATTAAACCCAAACTGGGTCAAATACATCCAAATCAAACTTGATTCGAGCTTAATTCAAGCCCAATTGGTTCAATTTGAACTCAATTGACTTTTGAAATCAAGAAATTGAAATCAACGACTCCAATTGCCTAGAAATTTGCTCCTTGTGCCGTTGTGGTCTCGTCATATCTTGTAGTAGGCAATTAAGCAGGATCTTATGTTTCAGATATATGAAATTGACTTTTCTGCTTTAGATTTTTTTTTTGTTTCATGCGTGCGTCCAACCGAGCTAGAGAGGAAGAGAGATCGGACCCTACGTGCATGCTTCTTGTGTGCCCAAGCCAACCGAGAGAGTGGGGAAGTAGAGTTGAGCCCAACATCTTTCTGCATGTTTTTTGCGTGCATGTGTCTAGCCAGAGCAAGTAAGAGAAGAGAGCATCCTCCTATTTTCTTCTCTACGGAAGTCTTCGTTCATACGTCTGGAGGAGTTGTCCAGCCAAGAGAGAGAACGGAGGCTTTGCGTGCTCCTAATCTAGGTTGATTGAATAGGCGTCCACTCACTTTGGAGCTTCTTCTTGCGTGTCTAGGGCCAAATCGAGCAAGGAACAAGCGGCTGGGGAGCTGTTGTGTATGCGATCTAGCCAAACCAAATAGACCTAGAGTTGTTGTGTGTGCTTCATGCATGCGCTTGAGAGGGAAGGGAGCTTCTTCCTCCTGAAATTGTTGCTAGACTAAGATTTGAGCCCTAAAAGACTAAAAGGAAGTAGGGCTGCTAACTTCTCTCTTTCCTACAGTGAAGAGGAGTTCAAGAGGTTCTTCCTCCCTACGTACTAACTCCAGTAAACTCGTGATGGCAAAGGCAGCACCTAGAGAAATTTGGACTACAACCAATTTCATTTCAGTTGCCTTTACCTCTTCAAGAACTTCTTCCTCTCATTCCATTGGGTTTGTATGATGCCTACCGAACCCTTGGGGCCTTATAGAAATGTAATTTTTGCTCTTCAAAAACCCATATGTGCTTTGTCAACACCACACATGAAAATTTGTTGATTTTCTATGGGTTGCTCTCATGTGAGGGCCTGTAGGGGATGACGACGTGCGTCGGGGCGTTGTGCTTGTGTTCAATGACCCCAAAATGCATGAATTAGCATTCATAGTGTGCTCACCTTCACCTACAAGCAAACCTTAGGCTAGGCATCGCCATTTAATCACAACTTGAGTGACGACACGTAGGTTTCACATTATGTTGCATGCATAGCTTTCCTAGAAAATTATAAGTTATAACAATTTTAACTTAATGATATAGGAGACTTGCGTTGTTTAGCATGTATTTTTTCCTAAATTTGTTGAATGTTAAAGAATGAGTTTCAAATTAGAAAGCTTATAAGCAATTGGTGGGTATTTCATGAACCCTCATGTTCCTATTTCAAATCCCATGATAAGTAAGTTGATTGAAATCACTTTTGATATTTCTCCAAATTTAGATGATTAAAAGAAGAGGCGAATAACTCCAATTCAAATGACTACACACTTAATCAAATTGGTTGCATGGTTAGATTGCATCACTTAAACTTTAGAAGAATGCATGCTGTATGTTTTTGGCTAAGATTGTTGTTTACCTAAATTTTGTAAATTCATAAACATGCTCATTTGATTTTTATGTGCTCTTGAAGCAAGGGTGGAGTATTCTATATCCTTCAAAAGGTCTATAGACTACACCCCCACCATACATTGAAATTATTTAAACGTGTTTATACAATTTGTAAAGGTTGAAGACAATAACAAGTAGCTTAAGCATTTGATAAACTCCTAAAATGGTGAACCACTTAATACATTCTCTTAATTTCATTTAGATCATACCAAAATTGATCTTTAAAATTTATTTAGAGACATCTAAATATTCACCCCTATTTTAAATGAGTTTAAATCACTTAAAAAAATCTGAGCTCTCTTTCAAATGCCTTCTCCCTCATACATGATATCTTGGAGCCTCCCCAAGGCTTCAAATAAAAGAGGAAACCACTTGTAGTGTGACATACTATTTAAGTTTGCACACACTTAGATGCATAACCCCTAAGCATTTTAGGATTAAGAAATTTTCTTTTATGTGCATGTGATTGTTGTGTTTGGTGTGGTGATCATTAGATTGTTTGTATTATGGATACTTGCCCTTAAATGGTCAAGATAAAGATATATATGTTTTTTTTTTTTTTTTCCACATGGACATGCCCAAGAGGGGGTAAAAATTCATGATTATTTAATGTTTTTTTAGGTGCTGCTTAAAAAATCTAAGGAGGCATAAACAATAGATATAAATAGGGCTTGACACTTTAACTGTCAGGCAAATCTATGATGTTTCTTTCATATAAAATTGCTTCCTAATATCTTTTGTTTTGCGGGTTTGAGTTTTTTTTCCCATTTTAAATGTAGTTAATAGACTTAGGAAGTTGTTGGGATCTGTGGGATAGAATTATAAGAGTGGTTAACTAGAAGAATGAACCTGCTAGGTGAAGCCATAGATGCACCAAAAGATCAAGCTCGAAGACCCACAAGTCAAGTTTGTAATTATTATTAGGTTGTATAAGGCAGACAACCTAACTATCATTTTTATAGCATTTCCTAAATTGTAATGATTTGGACATTACTATTATTTTTTGTGGTTGATTCATATTTATACATGTGATTGATTGTTTATTGAGTGTGCAGATATGTATATTTTTATGTTTATTCACTTGTTTTGAGGATTGGCTTGAATTTGTTATACGGTGAGCTCTTAGGACAAAATTAATTTTTTAATTAATTAACATCAAAGTAATTTAAAATTAATCATCGGATAACTAATTTTTCAAATTAAAAAAAAAAAATGCATGGCGAGCAAAATTTTCAAAGCAAAATGATCATGCATGACCAATATGTCTCATGTAAAAAGCTCTCACATTAAGGATTAGATAAAAATAAATTTGATTCAGTGAGTCAGCATTTGTATATCCACATGATCAGACATCTTGGATCAAAAGTGAAATTGTAAGCCTATCTTCTAAATCAAAACAACCTTATATATCCTTCATATACATTGAGACCAGATTTCATAGTTTTAAAATCATTTAGGTGGGTTAACCGGCGGCCCTTTCTAGGCAAGAATTATAAGTCCAAAGGTTGGACTAACTTAGCCTCAAGTGAGGTGTAGATTTGTAAGTCCCTTACATTCCGTTTGACATAAGTTCGACATACTTCCCTTCAATAGTCCTCATCTTAGATCTATAATATGAGGCTTATGTCAATTTCACTCACCTTATATGCCCTCACATTTCAGATGTTTTCTTTAAATTATGTTGTTGGAATATAAGCTCAATTTTCTAAATCAAATTGATCAACTCAAATAAAAATCTAGTTTTAAAATGTAGAATTGAATTAAGATAGTTTGAGTACCTTTGAGTTTCTCAATTTTAAATTCTCTTGTATTTTCCTTCAATTGGTTTCCATTCTTAAAAAATTGTTTTAAAATTGATCACATTTCCCTTGAAATTCTTGAAGACTAAATCTTTGAACAAGAATTTCTCAAACTCAAAAATAAAAATATTAGCCAATATTTTAATGACTTATAAAGAAACTACTAATTTAATCAAAAATATTATCAAGTAATAAATGCTTGAAATGTAATTAATCATAAGGGTTTGCTCCTATGGGGCATCCATACCATAGAATAAAATAAATCATATTCAACTAAATATTAAATAGGAGAAAATTTATGTTAAAATATAAAATTGCGAACTTTATTATTAAGCTATTTTTATTTTCTGGGTAATTTATTATTTTCTGTCGTATTTGGTCACAAAATATCTCAGTCCATTAAGAATGATACTAAAATTTTACCAACAACTATCACCCCTAGTCAGATCCTTTGTCTCCTCCTGAGACAAGCCTGGCATGGTTAGCCATCCTAGTCGGATCCCTCATTTTTTCCTTTGATGAGATTGATACACCCAAATCCCCTTGGCATGTAAATTCCCCCTCAACATATTGATGCCCTTGCAATATATTAATGCCCCACTTATAAAAAAATATATATATTTAAACGATAAAGCATATCAACCCTTTTGAAATGAGATTAATATACAGTTCTACGGCCAAATAAAACCAACATGTCATTTGCTTAAATTAGGACTTAAGTCCAATTACCTAGCTGAGTTGTCAAGGATCAGGACCAGTTCAATTTAGTCACAGTTAATAACCTTTTGTTATGAATTATTTTTTCTCTCCTCATTTTGCCCAATTCAGTAGCTGTAATTATTTCTCTTTTGAGAAATACTGCTGATACATCCTCTCGTAAATTGCAGGGTGATCATGTAACTCATTTGAATGTGTATAAAGGATTTCTCCAGTCTGGAAAGTCTTCACAATGGTGTTACAAAAACTACATAAACTACCATGCCATGGTGTGTATTCATTTTCTATGGGTTCACCGTTTCAGAAACATAGTCACACATTTTAACTATAAACAGCTTACTAAAAAAATATAAGATATAAGACATCTATAGAGTTCTTTCTAATGTTTGAGAGCCAATTGTGCAGAAAAAGGTTGTTGATACAAGGGAACAACTTTGCAGGCTAGTCAGGCGGCTTGGCATAGTTCTGAAATCTTGCCAAGGGGATACACAGGCATTGTTATCTTTTTTCTTGTTTTTTTTTTTATATATATGATTATGTCATCATGATGGTTGATTTGTCGGAGGCAAATCTCTTTTGATCTAATACTGATGAAAATGCTTTGTTTCTGTTGAAGATAGTTTCATTTGATTTGGTCACTCAATTTGTTTGGGTGATAGACGTTTTTGGTTCTTTTCTGGGGTAATTGATATCCTAGCTGAAAGGCTACGGAATTTGTTTTTTAAGCTTTGGTTAAGAATTGAACTGACTTCAGTTGATTTTTTTTTATCGATCTTAATTTCATGCTCCAAATTAACTTGGAATTTGTTATTAGAGTTGGAATAATAGCCTCTGCAACAAACATTAGTCCCTTCATGATGAGATTTATCATATTATTATTTATTTGGAGTCAACAATTTTCACATTTCTGCGTGCCTTTTTATGTTCAATTATACAGTTCAAAAAGATGTTTAATTATTTACATTATTGTAATTCTTTGTTGGTCTAATCTTGTCTTGCAGACAATAAGAAAAGCCATTCTTGCTGGTTTTTTCTCTCATGCCAGTCAGTTGGAAGTAAGTACTTTTTGTTTGCATCTGGCGTCTCAAATTTTTGTCACCTGTTTTTCCTAAGCGGTATTGCATTGGCCGTTACCCTTGTAAGCATGTTTTTTGCAAGGTTAAGCTTTCAAATAAAATTTTCTATTAGCGGAACATGAACCTATGCTATCTAGTTCTTTATCTTTTTCTTTAGATTCCCACTCTTGTTTAATTTTTCTCTGTAGTTAACTGTTCAAACTTTTATTATTTGTTAACTTGGTTGATTTAGTTGAACTTTTGGATTGAGGTTTAGATTCTCTCTTTTACATATTTTCTCACTTCAGTCTACTGGTATGAAACTATAATGCACTTCCAATCTTATGGCTTTTAGCTGAATTGTTTACTGGATGCTTGATTCCATATATTCGAGAGAAATCTTAGTTCTTAGAATTCTTGATATTTAAATATTCTTAGTTCTTAGCTATTTGGTCTATTTTGTATTTTGCAGGAATACAGTCAAAATGGCATGTACAAAACAGTCAGAAATTCCCAAGAAGTGTATATCCATCCATCATCTGTACTATTTAGGTTCGTAAAGGAAACTACTTATAGCTGTTCATTTGCTAACATCTTATTCTAATAAATATCTATTTCTTCCTGGTCATGCTTCTCAGTTTTTTTTTTTTGTTTTGAAATATTCAAATGAAATTTCACCATTCTACCATACTGTTAAAGAGTCGTATTTTTTTGGAAGCATGTTTAGTGAATCCTAGCAACATTTGAATGCTAAAATAAGGTGGCGTTTGAGGCCTCATGTAACCCAATTTTCTAGATGGATTCCTAAGCTAATATAAATCCTTGGTTTATTATAGGCGACATACATCTCGTGCCAAATTTAACATACCTATATAATTCCATTGTACATGATAGTCCGATACATCAAACAAAGTGGATTGTCATAGAGAAAAAACTTATCTTTTACTAGGGTGAGGATCTCTGGTCTTGAAATTCTCTTTGCATTGTTAACATCCTTCCATTTCAGGGTTTGCTGAGAAGTTGATATATGCAGTTTTATCTCTGTATTTGCAAAGTAGCTATTTTCAAGTCATATTAGTTTTATTTGTTTATTTATTTATTTTGATAAAAAAAGATATAGCTTATTTCATGTTGGAAGATTTATATTTAAAAAGTTGATGAGTTAAGTGAAAATATGTTAAATTTCATTGCATGATTTATCATGTATATATTCCTGCAGTATCATCAGATGCTTCACATAAAAATGTTAGTCCCACCACTTCCCAGTCGATATTACACCCTCAGCAAATTAATAGTACCATGACTGACATCCTTACAAATTTTGTGATTTGATTTTGTGTTATTGACAGAGTTAATCCTAAGTGGGTGGTCTACCATTCTCTGGTTTCCACTGACAAGCATTATATGCATAATGTCATTGCCATTGATCCATCTTGGCTCATTGAAGCTGCACCACATTTCTACCAACTAAAGAGACCAAATCCAGCAATCTTCTGAAAGCAATATGAGCTGGGGATTTTTCTTTCATCTGACATCACCTGGTTTCTCCTTTATTATGGTCTATGAACTCTGCAAGGGAGACTGAATTGCCATGAGTTGTAACTTCTTCAGATGTTTGTATTTTAATATTTAAATTACATATATATTTATACACCCCTTTCCTGTTTTTTGGGAGTCCCTTTGTAATTGAAATTGTAGCCTTTTTGTGATTGTAGGTTAAGCTTTGGCTCTTAGTATTCATTGAAAAAAAAAAAATCCCGACATAAATACATAATGATTGAACATTTGGGGTTGCACTATTGAGTAGTAAGTGTTGGAATTGTCTTGACTTCTTGTGCTTGTGAGGTTTATTTGGTTTGATGGAATTGTTAGAGAATAAAAAATTAAAATAAAAGTCAAATTGAAAAATGGAATGATTAAGAAATTAAGTTTAAATTGATTTCTTACCCCATTTATTTAGTTCAAGAAAAGCTAAGAAATTTTTCTTTCTTATTTGATTGATGAGAAATTATGTTTCATAGGTTAATGCCATTATGTTTCATAAATTGATTTCTTACCCCATTGGTTCATGAAGTGAATTATGTTAATGCCTATGAAACATTACAAAGAAAGTATATTTTGTGCTTGACTCGATTGTTTGTGTTAAAAATGATGTAGGATATGACACCATGTAATAGTAATTTGAATGTTGCTCTTTTATGAAATAGGCTATCAATGTATCTTGAATGTCGGACTTGCCAAAAAAAGGGTTATTTTTATCGTCAAATAGCATCATGATAAGAAACTGGATAACAATAGGCATTATGTTGTGTAAAGCTTGAACCCATAAGGAATGCCCATATAATATAGTTCAAAGTAACAAGATATTTTATTTTACATTAGTAGTAGGCTATCAATAGCACTTGCAAAGAAAATTCATTTAAAAATGCAAACTCTGGAAATCACCTTGCTTATGTGGGAGCTCATAATATTATTGAGTTGACACAATTGACAAAGTTCAACTAACAAAATGAATTAACACCTTTCAAAATGCCCCTAAGGCAACTTATGGTCAATGATAAGGATCTTTAGGGTAAGTTGGCTCGACTATCTTCTTTGGCTTAGTAGAATAGGAATCAAGCTAAAATGGCATGATAGAATCCTTGGATCTTAATTATAAAGGATCATCATCAACCACCCCTATTATCTACATTAAGTTAAAGGTAATAAATTTCTAATTCTAAATCATGATACAATTATTATATGTTGAGTAATAAGCTTTTAATGACTATTATTAATCAAAAGTTTTCTTTTATTACTTGGAAGGTTAATTAATCATAGGAGCATACACTTATGTGCAATGTGCGTGATCTAATGAAGTTATTAGTACTAAAAAATTAACCTAGAAGCGAATCTTTATGTTTGAAAGTATATCTCAAACTAAGGCCCCAACTATGAAGAGGAAAATTGCCAGACATAGAACCTTTATGCTTCATATTAATAATTTTATTAGTGCTAGAGTCTTTCAAAACTAAAAGGTATGATGATGAAGCTTCATCATTTGGAGAAAAACTATTAAGAAGTTACATGAAGAGGCATAATACTAAGTTAAAAGCTCAATAAGTATTGCAAGTGCAGCCTACAACACCATAGAGTTTAAACTCAGAAGTTATTATTCTTACCCAAAATTAATTTTAAATTTTTAAAAAGGTTAAAGAGAAATAAATTTATTAGGAACTTGAAATAGGCTTTTTGGATTCAATAACACTATGCCCCCAACCCATAGAAGAAGAAACTTGAGACTCTATTTGTTAGAATGTCAGCCCTTAAAATTAATAAGGAGAAGGGTCTCATGAAAGAGAGATATCAAAGCCCAGTTGTTATAGTGGTTACAAAGTCTTTACTAGCAAGCTATCATTCATTGTGATGACAGGGGAAAAAGAATGAGGCAAGATCTATAAGAAGAGCATGGGGGTTTGACACATGGACAACATATCCAAGAGTATACTGTCGAAATTTATTGGTAAAAGGAATAGTAGGTATGCAGGCCAAAATCTTTAGAAGATAAGTTTATTACTAAAAAGATAGAAGTGACATTTGGTGCATACTCCCATATATCTAGCACTAAAAAAATTCATTAATAATGGGTGCCCAAGAAGAAAGTGTATGTTATTAACTTCTTATGATTATTGACGCCTTAGAGAAATCCTCCAAGGAAATGCAATGAGAAAATTAGGTCTTTCATAGCTTCAAAACAAGTGAAGAAGGTGAGAAAATATTATATGTACCCTTCTGAGAATGACTAAGTGTCACCTAAAAGTTTAATAAATGTTGAATTTTAATACTTTTAAGGAAAGTGATAACCCAAAACAACACTTAGAATAGTTAAAGACATCTTATGGTAAAACGAACCATAATGAATCACTTCTCTTTCATCAGTTCATTAACAATTTGACCTCAACCTCTTTTGAGGGATATGCTGAACTTTTAAATGACTCAATTAAAACCTTTACTAAGATGAAAATCATGTTTATAAAAAGATTCACTAGTGCCATATAGAAAATAGCCATTATCAATCTTGTCCTAGTGATACGAATAAGGGATAAGTTGGAGACCCAATATATTACTCGCTGACATAATATGATGGTGTCTTATTTATGCATGAACTATAAATAACAAATGGAGGAAGAATTACATTTCAATTGTTGATGGGGAATATTGATGATAAGATGGAGCCTTATCTATGCATGGCCGCTATCACAATGTTTCATGAGCTACTTAATAATGTGGAGAAATATGAGAATTTGAATCTTTCAAAGCCTGAAAGTCGTCATCACAAGTTCAAAAGAAGCAAATCTTTAGATACAAAAAGAGGTGAAGTGCACACTGCTTCCTTTAGCACTAATAAAGAAAAAAGGGTGCACTACAATGTTGACAAAGTATAATAGATTATTTTTAATAAAAGTAAGAAAAGTAGCCTTTCAATCCTAACCCTTAACCAAAACTTGTGGTTCTTGAAGGAGCTAAAAAAACCAAAACTTTTTTTGGTGATAGAAAAAATCTCTTTGTGAAATAATGATTTTTTTAATCCTATTTTCATACTTGAAACCAATTTATGATACTATTTTTGTTTTGAAATTTCTATATTTTCTCTATCTCATTTGGTCACAAAAAAAATAATTTTTAAGTTGTTCTAAAATTTCTTGCTAGATGATGATACTTGAGTTAATGTAGTCGAGTAATGGTGGCTGAGTGACATGGTCAAGCGAAGATAGTTGAGTGAAAGTGGTTTTCTGATGATAATTTATCAAATGTGTCATGATAATGACAGCTAAGTTACATGGTAAGGAGATGGTAATTTTTTGGAATGTGCGGGATGAAAGTCCATTTATTATTTTTTAGAGTGATATTTTGATAAGTTTTGTTATAGTATAAAAATTCTCCATTGGATAGTTGCATTAATTACCTCATTTATATAGTTGGGAAGCTAGCTTATAGGTTATAGTTGCCTGAACACACGTATGATATTCATAAAATATTCCTAAATTCGTGAGCAGAAGCACCTTTTTCGACCCAATTTGGTAGGTAGAATTTCTGCATTCGTGTCTTCTACTTATGTTTGTGAGTGTTCTAGGTGTTCAAGTGTGTTTAAATCTATTTTGAAGTGGGTCCTGTGAATCAGTGTGTATGTGCATGAAAATCCTTTTTTCTTTTGGATCGCTACAATCCTGGGTTGGCAAAGCTGCGACATGGAGCTCTATAGCTAGATACCTCTCATTTTGTTCTAGGATTTGGAAAATGAATTAATGTTGCAGCTTTAGGGCCAGGCTCTACAATGCTGTAGGGTCGAGCACTATGACGCTAGATTAATTTTTATAAAAATATTTAAAAATATTTTCAAACATATTTTCTAAAAGCCTAAATTCCTTTTTTTTAAGATTGCAAATTCTATTATAATAGAAAGCTAATACAAATATCTGGGAAAAGAGATAACTACCACACTCCTTTAGCAAATAAAATAAAGAAGAAGGAATGCAATCTAAGGAAAAACTATCAAAAACAAAATTATTACTTAAGGGTAAAGTGGCACAATAATCAGCCACTTAATTACACTTTCTAGAAGTATGATGAAAAACAGCATTATTGAAATCATTTAGGAAGACAACCTCCTTATTCCAAACTCCATCTTGCTACAATTTAGCCTTCTTCATTGAATCATGAACCCACTTGATCACATTAGAATTGTCTCCTTCAATAATTACCCCCTGTATTGAAGCATCCAACTTTGGATATGCTCTCTAATCAAGAGAAACACCTCAATCTCTAGATAAGCTACATCCCAATGTTTCAAATATTTACCAAATGTCCAAAGGAACTGTCCCTTATGATCTCTAATAACACCTCCAATACCCGCTATATATGATTTTATAAGAGATGCATCCATATTGATTTTGATCCAATCTAGGGGTGGAGGATGCCGAACATCTACAGGCTCCATATGAAGATTAGCATACTGTCTTCTAGCATCAATGACTTAGATAGCTGCATAATGGATGTTAAAATATTTGATGCCATAAAATTAATAGACGATTAAGCCAATCCTAGCTTTATTTGATTCAATATTTTCTAAGAATAAAAAACAACTATACAATATAATTTAACTATGTTCAAATTAAATGTAGAAATCCTTTTCAACTCATTTAAGCATTCCATAAATGATTTTAAGATTGGAACATGGAAACCCCATTCACAAAGCTTTTTAAAAATCTTAAGTATTTGCACCAAACAACTATATTCACTTGATTCTCCACCTCATGAAACCCTCTAGCACAACAACTTGTTTGCAATAGATTCCTATAATCAAGAAAATAATTATAAGGAAGAGCATCCTTACATAATCTCCACTAGAACATATCAATCTTAGGAATAAGCTTGAATTTCCTGATCCAGTTCAGTGTATGAAATTGCTCTACTGCTGTTCATACTTCATCGATGCTTCAAACGATAACACTGTAATTGTTCTACCTAAATGTTGCTTAAGTAGCTCTATACAATCTTCCTCCATATCAAGAAATAATGGAACCTTCTTAATAGCTAAAAATAGATCTTCATCAAAAAAATTCTGCATCTCAGAACATTTCCAGCCGCTATGTTCTGAAATAATTTTCTAAAAAAATTCACTTTGTAATCCAGCACAATTAATAAACCTTGGCTACTTGTTGAGAGATTTATGAAAGATCCAAGAATCATTCATTATGCTCACTTTTTTGCCATTAGCCAATTTCCATCTAACAATATTCTTCAAATGCTTAGCCCCATG